TTAATCTGTGCTCCAAAGCTTAATACATTTCAGCATAACACCTTCAAACATGAACAAATAAATTCTCAGCTGACTTGTAAAATCAGACAGTAAAACTAATATTATGGAAATACTCAAGATTGGATAATTTGTTTTTGTGCTGTTGCTTTGGAGAGAGGAAATTAAAAAAAAAATAGATTTCTAAACTTTTTTTTTCTTTCCTTCATGTTAAATCTCTTGTATATGAAATATTGACTTGGAAAGTACAGACAGAAAGTGATTTCTTCATCCCTGTCTCCTTATTTACTCTTCTGAAAAGCTGCTTCTGAGGTTCTGAATAAACCTCTTGCTGAAGCAGAGAGGAGTAGTGACAAAAATTAATTCATGCAATTTCTCTGGGCTGCCTTTCCATTTAAAGAAGATCAATGTGCCTGATTTTTCAGCAGTTTTCAGAGACTGGGCATCTAGTTTTGTAAACAAACAAACAAACAAACTGCCTTGCCTGTCACAGTTTCATGGAAAGAAGACATTTGTATTAAATAAGTCTTCAATTATTTGTGCACCTTCCTGATCCCATATATTTAACTTGCTTTCAGTGCTTGCATTGTCTCAAACTTTCATTTTTATTTCAATATGTTCACCTTTTAAAACAGAATCACATTCAAACCAGTATGAGTAGAATTTTTTGGTCAGGCATTGCTGTTGCTCAATATAGCAAGGCAAGAGAGCGTGACTAAGGATGTGCTTGCATGAAAGTGGTGCATAGTAAAGTGGCAGTTGAGCAAATACAGTGATATTCTTCTACTACTAGGAAACATAATGCTTTCTTCAGGGTACCTAAAGCTTGTCTGACAAACATCATATAAACTTGGTGTAATTTCTTGGTGCCCACCCCTGTCCTGCGGAAAAGTGCCCCCATCCAAAATCCACATAACCATCACCCTGTTGTCATTTAGCCTTTAAAAATGGTTCTTTCACCAGGCTGTGTGGCAGGGCAATTTGTGACCTCATATTAATATTAGTGTTTTACACTTTGGTTATATATGGTTGTTTCTTCACCAGTATAGTAATATATACTGTCTTTATTGCTGTTACTGTTTTTTCTACTTGTGTCATGTTTAATGCTGAACATCATTTAGAGTCACAAATAAATAATTCAAAGTTCATTTCTGTTAGCCACTCAAGAAACTAGAGTGAATTTAAAGAAGTGAATGAATGGGAATCTGGGTTCTGCTGGAGGAACCTTTAAATGGAGAAGGAATCAAATCACAATAGCCAGTTCTACAACAGAAGCAGCTTAAAAGTACAGTGATCACTGGGATTAAGTAGCTCAATAAATCACTTTCCAGATTTCAATGTGGAAACAATGGCAATTCAGGTTATGACAATGGCTATGGCAACAATGGTATTCAGGTATTCTATCCAGATGGCAGTTACTACAGCTCTCAGTTGATGGCTTCTTTGCTCCTTCAACCCATGTCAGGAAAGCAAACACATGGCATTTCCTTTTCCATATACCACCCTTTGATAATCTGTGGTTTCCACTGATAGACAGGAGTCTAGCTCTGTTGATTCCCCTTTGAAGTTGATTTCTGTCACACAGGTCTCCCCTTGGTATAGGGGAGGGAAATACCATCATTTTTGCTTCCTTCCTGCTATTTGGGTTAGAAGTAGAAGCTGGAATAATTCGAAAAGGGAAAAGAAGAAAAGAAAAGAAAAGAAAAGAAAAGAAAAGAAAAGAAAAGAAAAGAAAAGAAAAGAAAAGAAAAGGGGGTCAACTTTTGAAAAGTGAACTTTCAAAAAAAAAAAAAAATCTTTCACCAGTGGTGGCCCTATACTGTAACGAAAAAACCAAAAACGCCAGCCTTTTACACGTCCATCCCTTTAGAAATGGGCAAGGAGTCCAGGTTGAAATTATTGAAGGGCAGCAACTACTAACCAGATGGAGGGGTTATCCTGACTACAGTATACAGTAACTAATTGAAGAAGAAGCATTTGTATTCAGTGAAATAAAGCACACCACTCCTTTGGCCTTTAGAAGTCAGAAAACACTATAGGCAGAGGTTACTTTTGGGGTGAACTGAGGCAGGTTGAAGATGACATCATTCATTCATTCATTCATTCATTCATTCATTCATTCATTCATTCATTCCTGTTCTCAATAAATGGTTAGCGAGTTCTCTTCGTTCCAGGGCAAGCAAGACATGGGATGAGTCAGGGGAGGTCTGAGCCTTGTTGAGGTATCCTTTATCTAGACTACTTAAGTGCAAGCATTCCCAATAATCCTCATTTCCTGCTAATGTTACTGAAAGTCTGTAATAGTGAATCCAATATGTGTACTCACAATATCTTCCTCTCTGCAGACATGTACATTTAGGGCACTCAAGTGTCTATAGCAGTCGTCATAAAAAAACTGGTGAGGACAGGGGGAATAGCCAGAGTGCTCAACATGTGAGCCTGAATGGATTACTGGAGGCATTAATCTGATGCAAGGGGATTCTTTGGTAACTGAAGAACTGTGCCTGGCCTTCTTCTTTATAAATGTAATTTGGGGGGGGGGGGGCTGTAAATAGAGTAGGCTTCCTTTAACACCAGAAAAAATGTGACTAGATGGGGCAGAAGAGTTGGCATGTTGCTTTCAGATATAGGGCATTGACTTCAATTAATTTTGGCCAGGAAAACATATGGCTGATTCTGCTTTAGAAAGAGCTCACATTCAGATTGAGTCACTCACTGTTAAGTGTGAAAATTAATAGCTGTGGCCCTAATTAATTCAGCAACGAGTGTCTTGCCTCTTTTCCTCCAATGGAATAAAATGCTAAGCGTTCTTTGAGAACCTTCTGTTCCAGTTAGCAGATCTTAGTGACCTGTTAGATACTGTGGGAACTTGTACAATTTACTTCTATTAAATCTGAATGGAAAATACTTCATATAATTTAACTTGATTTCAGCTACATAGAAGCAGCATATCTTATGCTTATGTTCCTAGTAGTATATTTCATAAAAGAAAGACTGATACTTAAAATAACAAGATAATCTTTTATTTAAGAATTTGCATTTGTATGGTTTGCTATGTGAAGTTTAAAGGTAAAGCAAAAGAAAACATTTAAATCATCTGCATCTTGTTAATTACATTAATTTACAGATAAGTAGCTTTTCTTGGTAACAAGAATTAATAGTTTGTTACTATTGGATATGTGCTTGTTATGAACAATTTCAGCAACAGCATAAAAGGTCATGCAAACAAAAAGAGTCAATGTAAAATGCATACTTCATAGAACTGTCTAAAAATAATTTATGAATCTGCCAACCAGCAATCTAAGAGAAGTCTCATAATATGTTGTTCTATTGAACATACTGTAATGTGTTATGAATATGTTAACCACTGTCATTTATTCCTCTGAGAAAAAAAATGGATATTGGTTCACTTTTAAGGTCACTAGGTAGAATGACTGTATCTTCATTTGCTGAGTACCTTAATGTACAAATAAACTACTAAAAAGATCAAGTATAAGTTTAAAATTATAAGACTCTTACAGATTAAAGTCTTAATTTGCTATTCTTTCCACATTTAATTTTGTATATTACATTTAGAAAAGACAGACTATGCCTGCCATTATTTGTTAACTTTTTGGACTTAAAAAATATTTTATTTTAGATGTGTGTGTGTATGTATGTGTGTGTATTCGTATCAACACTTCTAAGTGGCATCCAAAATTGATAACACTAAAAAATTCTTACTTGAAAGTGATAGTCACATCGATTCCATTTCATTAGAACTTCCTTTTTCATTATTTTTATTTTTATAGGTAACAGTTCACTTCACATGTAGCTAGAAAGTTTTCATTTTCTTGTCTGATTTATACACACACACACACACACGATCATGATTTGGTTAATTCTCTCACTTCAAGGATGAGGCTGGGATGAAAAGGAATAAGGTGCCTTAGGTATTAGTAAAATTTAGTAACCATAACCTATCTCATAAAATGAAGCCACTACACTTAGGACTGTAGTCTTCAAAGGCAATCCCATCCCATGTCCCATCTATTTTATGCATCAGTTGTGTTGGAGTAAGACATCTAGAGCTAGTGAGCTCATGCTCAAGGTTCTACAGAAAGGCACGTTGAGCAACCTATTGCAAGATATATGGACAGGCTCCAGAATTACGGAAGGCTTCCTGCTATGATCAGTCACCTTCAACATATGAGAATGGTATTGGTGCAAAGAAAGCTAGCTAGCTTCTCCTTGTACCCCAGCTTGTACAGTATAATTTTTCTAAACTTCAGAATAGATCAATTCCCAGTGCCTGCTAAGTCATGAAAGAACACATCTAAAAAGACAAAGTGTCTATGATAATGGGGTTGATTATAAAAATGTCCAGAATCTCACTGGCTGAGTCCACACTTGCACTGCCATTTTATCCCCACAACAATAATTCTATCAGGTGGGATGGAACTGAAATAGTACTGAAATCAGTGTTCCCCAACCTGGTGTCCTCCAGATGTGTTGGACTAAAATCTCAGAATTGCTATCCAGTATAAAGTTGTTTGCTTCATTCACATTAGGAATGTTTTTCTTCAGGTTTCCAGTATTACACAAAGATTTGTATTAAATCATGCAATGAATGCTCTAATAAAGACATTATCTGACATGCTGCCACAACTTAATCTTCACTTGGCATGTTAAAATTAAGCTCTGCATATATTATCCTATAGATAGAAACAAATTAGCATACAGGTGTATACTAAAACAATAGCAGTGATTACCATCATCAAAAAGGCTTTGGTTAAAAAAAATAGTATTTGCAAAAATTGGTGTTGTAATAGATTACAGAACATGAAACAGATTTGATTTTTATGAAATGATGTTTGGCATTAGCATGCAAGAAAATGTGTATTTATCAGGATTACATCTTGTGCAGTGAATACTATCTGAGTCAGAATGTATTTACTCACCATGCAAACTGAGAATAAAGTACTGTGAAAATAAGGTAGCTTGAACTTCAAGCAGCTAAGAATACTCATGCAAGTAAACATTTAATCAAGCTATTGTATTTGTGCATGAGAACTACATTTTATTGAAGAAAAAAATTAAAATAGAATGTCCACAGCACTAAAAAAGTATTTGCAGTAAGTAAAATTTAAAAGCATTTGGATTGAATATTGAAAAGCTTTTCACAGCTGTGTGTACAAATGTATGGTAGGGATTGATTTCCATGAATGTTTGTTATTTATTCAGTATTGGGAGGGGGGGATTTATTTCACTATCTGAACTGAATTTCTTATTTGTGCTTTAGGAACTTGCTATGTAACTTAAAATATCTCCTCTAGTGAGCAAATTCTGTTCATCTTTTTTTTTTTAAAAGTGTAGACTACATTTCTTGTGTTTTTGTTAAAGACAGGCAAAAATAAAATAAGTAAATTTGCCTGTGCTCTCACAGCATGCGGAACTCTGAGGGATAAAGGTTAATTATTCAATTATTCATCTGTCCCTTTGTTCTGTACGTTTCACAATGATTAATTGTGTTCTGTTTCTTTTTATTAGCAGAGAATAGCGATGTAGACCCAGATACCATGAAGGCAAACTCCCAGGGGTTTATTGGATGCCTCTCTTCAGTGCAGTTCAATCATGTTGCTCCTTTGAAGGCTGCTCTGCACCATCCCAGCTCAGCTCCAGTCATTGTTAAAGGACATTTCATGGAATCCAACTGTGGGACTTTAACTGGAGCTGATACAGCATCAAGTGAAACAACCCATTCATTTGCAGGTACCAAGCATATGGTTTTCATTAATTTGACTCTCTGAAAAAGAATACACGACAATGGTTCAGAATGTCAGTCATTTTTGTTACATGCCAGAAGTGCATATATGCTAGGCTCTTCTACCAATCCCCAATTTTTGTCTTTTCCTATCTTGTGTGCATATACATGTGTGTTGTTCAGATATACCCATGTGGCTTCCAAACCAATCATTCAATCCTTGTTCTTAGTAGCCTTGTATTAATCTTTTAATGTGTGTGTCCCTAATTTATACTCTATGTTATAACTATCACCTACAGTATAGTAGCCACTGTTGGGTCTGTGGATTAAAATGCAGAATTTTCTCATCTCTGTTTGTCTCTGCATTTTTCTTTTTGTTTCTGATACAGATCATTCAGGACCAATGGATGAAGGGGAGCCTTTAGCTAATGCAATAAGGAGTGATTCTGCAATTATTGGGGGTAAGAACTGTAATGGCATTGTATGTACCATTAAAAATCTAAATATAAGTGGTGAAGCTGAGTGCCCAAATAACCAAATAAGCTTCCACATTGTTAACTTGTTTAACATTGTATAACACCCAGATTTTAGAAACTGATGGAATTAGATTGGACATTCACAGGTCTGAAATGGTTATGTGTCTTAAGATATGTGGTCAAGCTGCAGTGAAAATATGGATCCCATTTTTCCTCAAATCTCTGAATGGCTCACAGCATTGATAAGAAATGCTTTATAAGTGTTCTATCCTCTCCAACCTTTTATGTACATGTTTGTTTGTTCATTTATTTTTAAAAATCATCCTTCTGGTAATCCTATATTTTCAATAATGGATTGAGTTCTCGTTGGGAATATTAACTTACTAAGAATGAGAGTGCTGTAATCAAGCCCAAAATTCTGTCTGCTAAGTGTATACATACAACAAATACATACCCACACAATTCCACATACTTCTGTGGGAGTTGGGACTTTGTAATATTATATTTTTCTCAGCAGCTATACCAGGTAGTGATTTCCCTATCTTTCAGGTGTTTTAAAATGCTTATCATCTTATTTATACACTGATTTTCCATATTAAACCATGCTGAAGGCAGTTCAAAACAGTATCGGAAGAGTTTTATTATACAGCAACACTTCAAGATAGCATCACTTACAAGACATAACATTTAAATATCAGTTGGCTAATCAAAATATTTTGTATAACAAAAATAAAGATGTAAAAATGTATCGCTAATTCATACGATTCATATCGCTAATTCATTCAGATATAATAATAGAAATACACAAAAGTAGAGTAGGTGAAGTTCCCTTTGAGCTAAGCTCAAAGTTCTCGTGACTTCAAATAAAACCATATTCCCTAGCCACATAAGATAGATAGAGAGTAGTGACTTGGACTTCCAAAATTCAAAATTAGATTTTTTTTTTAAAAAAAACCTTAAGCATATACATGTTTGGAAACAAAAATAAATTGAAATTTGTTAGTGTTGTTTTTTCTTTTCTTTTTAAAAATGTTCTATATTAAGTACCAATGCAGCATAGCAAAATACTGATTGCTAAAGTGGAATGTGAAATTTTGATCCTGAATAATATTATTTGGAAACAGCCCTTCAAGCTCAAACTTCTCATTTGATGGGAGAGGAACACTGCTTTAGCAGTGTAACTGACAGGTACTAGACAGAAAAAAACCCTGGGGCTATTACAAGTGTTGAAGGTCTGAGTGCAGAAGATTTGCCAAGGCATATCGATAGGGTCTGAAAACATTTGTTTTTCCATTTTTATTCTAGTTAGAAGCATATGGCTTAAAAACATCCCATTCACTCCCTTTTGCCAATTTTGTGGAAGAAGGATTGGTTCTCCATATTAATATGTTTAACAAGTACCTGTAACATCTCTTTTTTTAAAAAAGAAAATGTGTGTGTGTGTGTGTGTGAGAGAGAGAGAGAGAGAGAGAGAGAGAGAGAATTTTTTACCCAAATTTTTAAATAAATAGTTCAATTTGGATAAAGGACGAATTTATCCATGCAGAATATGGAATATTTATATTTTCAAACATGTAAGAAACTGACATATCCCTCTGACAACTGACATATACCACTGCCAACTTAACATGCTTCAAGAGGAACAAAGTTCAGTTTCACAACTCTTCAGGAAGTAGTGGAACATTATGCCTTTGCTGTTTCTTTGCTTCAGAAGATTTTGTTCATCTTTTCTATAGGAGATATATGAAACCTATGCTTGTATTTGGAGCACCTGCATTTTCAGCAGTTCATTAATTCCCAAAACACCTACTCAATCTTCTCACTGAAATGCTTAAGAGAGTTCACAAAACCATAAAACTGAGCAAAAATGGTGCTACAGGTTGATTTTTGAAATGCAGTAAACTTAAGAATTGCCATATGTGCTGAGAAACTCAACTGGATTTCAAGAGCCTGCCTTCTGCACTCACTACCATCAGCAGCAGTAACTGGAACTGAAGCTTAAGGGTTGAATGCTTCTTCTGTGCGTTCAGTACAAAAGTTTTGTGGAAGCATTACCCTTAAAATATGGAAATAGATTTTGAAAATCGAGTTTGTAAGTTCATACTTTTCCTCTGTCTTTTTAACTTTACTGAGTGGGCAAATCAGTTGTGTGTTTGTGTGTATGTCTGTGTTTGTGCACATGCATATACACATCATCAAACACACATAATGGAGGCAGCATCTCATTATCTAGCAAGAAAACTAGAATGGAGGTAGTGTTTTTGTTTTGATAAAGGGATGTAAAGGACAAAAAAGAAAAAAATATATTATTGATAGTGTCTCAACTTCTGAATTCTTTGTGTAATATCATTGTAAATACACAAATAAGTGAGGAACATTGTTTCTAGTTACTGAAAAAAAATCCATGTTCACTAAGAGCTAATAATTTAGAAATGGAAAAGCTGAAAAAAGTATCTTGCCAAAAACAGGAACTTATGCTCACCTACACACTGCTGCTGTTGCTGAAATTATGAGCATTCTATATTCATTTGATGACCCATTAATATCTACATTCACCTCTGCCTTAAACCAACTTGAGCAATAGTTGATCAGCTTCTTGCATTTCATATTCAATATTTTCATATGTAAATTAAAAAAGAGGAAAATCTCAAGATTAAACTAAGACTCATCAGCACAGAAAGTAGCCAGAATTTAAAAAATTATAAAGCAGACATGATGATAAAAACGCTCTTCCTTCATTTTTCCATTATCCCACTAGTGACAGTGGGAGATGTCTTTATAATCTTATGATTAGATTTCTGCAATGAGCTCTTTGACAATCACTTGAAAATGATAGTTTGTCCAAAATGTAGTACCCTACATGCTCACTGGTGCTGGATGGTATGAACATATTACCTTCCATTGTTTGCAGTGTTTCCTGGTGCAATTCAAGGGTTAGTTTGAATTTATAAAGCCCTCAATGGCTTGCCACTTTTACAACTGCTTACTCCAACCAGAGATGCCCTGTCTAAGGTAATCTTCCTAAGAGAAGCTGCTTCTGCTACCCTAATTTCATGAAGTGAAATGAACTGATGCCAGAAAATATCGTCGTTCAATCATGGGACCAATTGTATGGAACAGCTTGCTTCTAGAAATCAAGCTCGCCTTCTCAGTGATGGCCTTCCCTAAGGCAGTGAAGCTTGAACTCTTCTGGAGAACCTTCAGGAAATGATTGTGTGCCATCTGGAATCAGTTTTTATTATTATTATTAAATTATTTTGTATGGTTTTTGTTATGGTTTTTGCTTTGTGATTCTATTGTATTACACAATTATTGGGGTTAAGGATTATGGTACCTTACTGTGGACATTTCATCATATGTTATTTTGTCAGTTGTTGCAAGTCAAACAGATTTGGCAGCATTCACATTTAATAAATAATGATAATAATTCATTGGTTTTTAAAAGTCTCACCACCAAGACTCAGATTAACTCAGGAGACAGCAAATATCATAGCTAACAATGCAATGCTGTGCACTTACTATAAGTCTTCTGTGTTCAGTAATGCTAGTAATTCTGTTCAAATATTCAGCAAAGTACTTTCGGCAGCCCTGTGTTATCGTGTGTGTGTGTGTGTTTAAAATAACCTACAATTTCAGTAATATGGGGGAGAGATTGTTTTTTTATATATAAGATGTATCCTTATTCCACCAGATGCCCTTTCTTTCTTCCAAAACAAACAAACAAACAAACAAACATGACTTTCTTCTCTGTTAACCTTTTTACATGAGAAGACATTCTGATAGGTCAATGAAAAGCAGTTGAAAGAAGTACTTTGCGAAGCACGTTAGCATGAGTGAAGCACTTCTCCTCAAAGCATTAAAGCTCCTGCTTCTATTGGAAAGTTCATGTGGGTGCTACTAAGGCTATCCCTGGTTACCTATATGTGCATACACAGACACAACACTTCATATATTCCAGCCCTCCATTATTTCATTCATTTTTACTCTTTTTCTCAACACTCTGACATCTTCACTTTTCCATGAAATGGCCTAATTTGTACTTTCCAGAATGTTATATAATTGTATATACTTTAACCAGCACTTTGCTAAATTTTCAATGCAAGTCTGGTCTCGGTACAAGATATATGTATAGGAAAGATATGGTACTGCATATAATATATATGAAAGTTATGTATGTGTGTGTGTGTGTGTATACACATATACAAATGAGCATTCTTTGTATGTAAATTTGTGTGCGTGTATAAGAAAGGGAATGTGAATTTTTGTGCACTTTTCAATCATTAAAAATCCAGATTAACGTATAAATCCAATGATATTTTTGAATACACATGCAATGCAAATGACAAAAATTGACAGTTTTATCCATCCCAGATAGATGGGCAAGAAGAAAGAACATGGTACTTACAATATAATATCACTCACATTTATATATAGCATTATAACACTACGTACTCTAATTTCAATTCTTTTGCTCATTAAACTTAACATGGATTTTCCCTTGTTAAACACCTCTGTGCACTGAGTTTAAATTTTTGTGAAATCAAGCTTTAACTTTAATGAGCTGATTCTTTAAAGCAACTACATCTTTTTTTTCCAGGCAGCTTTAATGAATAGTAGAGAAGTGTTACGCTCATATGAAGTATAAAGCAGATTTTCAGAATCATTTGCAAAATGTGAATAGCCCTAACACACACACATAAACACATATAAATAACTGTGAAGTGTTTGTATAAAATAATACTTAGCAGTAGCAGCAGGATACTGAGGCTATGACAATTAACATTTACGTGCCTGACTTACCCAATTATTATTTTTCAAATATTTGTTGCTGCAATTTTGTTTGTAGCACTATCATAAACTAAAAAAAATATAGAGTCAGGTCTGTTAGAATTAAGGGCCTAGTTTCAAAACCAGAGTATGCAATGTAGAACCCTATGTGTTTGTAGGGGAGTACTTCTTTGAGACTTTTACCCTCCAATGTGTGAAAGATGGTAAACTGGTCTACAAAAGGTGAGATAATTAACTGCATCCTCATTCTTCACTCATTGTATTTGTCTAAAACAGTTAAGGCTTTTGGTGGCTTATTTTTGGCAGTTTTCCCTTCAATTGCCTCAAGTCTAGATCCAGCCTAGGATTGAATATTTGGGGTTCAAGCATTACACTGATATATCCACTACCTCTGCCCAGTTTCAGCAAGGCAAATATTCAAATCTAAGTTTATAAAGCTTTATCTAAATAAGATTACAGCCTTGAACATCCAATTAGAGAAAGAGAAAAAACAGTAAATTCACAATGCACAGAGTATCCATTCCTAGAAGATTCAATTGTAAAGAAAGTCACCTGAAGAATATAGTCAAACTTTATGCGCTTTGTGAATAAGTTATTCACATCATCTACTGCTAGCATTTTTAGGGAGTAAGTACCCTATTAATAGGCCAAGTCAGCATACTTCAGGAAATATGCACTAGTGGAAAAAAGATGAAACCAGATAATGAACACTCTTTAGAGTGAAGATAATAACTAATGGAGTATTACTGGATTATGTTGGTGACAGTTCTTTATAACATTATCTCAGTGCCAGATGCTATTACGGTAAGCTTAGTGTGTTATACAATTCATACGATACATTTCTAAAATGACAGGTACTGTGCTAGTGAAAAGAATTTTGCTTATAGCTACTATAAGATGTTATTAAGCCTAAGTGAGATCTCTTTATGCTGAATGAAGATTCCACTGTGCCCAGAGACCTTTTATCATGAAACAGATGCTCATAAAACTACAGCCTAACTTGCCCTGTTATCCCTTTTAATATAAGCTGAGATTCAACTATACAAATGTCCAATTAAAGAATAAATGAAGTAATTGTACTCCAGCTGTACTCGCATCTAAGACTATATATTGATGATTCCAACATTAACTGATAACTTCTTGTTCTCATTATGATGTTTGCCTCCAACACACACACACACACACACACACACACACAACTCAGTAGGTCCTGAGGTAATGAAAGGTTGTCCATGTCTGTATAATTTAACAATAGCAAGAACAAAGAAACAGAATCAATTTTAGACAGCCAGTATATTATATAATGCATACATATATAATATATATATACAGAAGTTAATGGGCACTGTAAAAAGTTAATTCATAACATTTTTAGCTATGTCACAGTAGTGAGATGGGCAGCTATATAAATTTAACAAAGAAACAAACAAATAAATGAATAGTACAGAAAATCTGGACCAGTTACTATCATATGGTTTTTATACATATTTTCCTGCAATTTCCATATTATAATGTATTCCTGCGCAGCTTCCCCTATAAATCTGTTATTTAAATGGATTGTAGCTCTAACATAACTTACCCAAATGTGGAATAAATATTTTGGCAACCTCCCTAAACAATGCTGATATTTACTCAACATTCCCAAATATATAGTTTTAATGACTTCTTTCTAGCAGAGAACAGTAGGTGGCAATGGATTTCATTTTGATGGATATCAGTGTTTTACAATAAAAGAAATTTATAATGGATTCCTTTTATGTAACTAGCTCCTACTGTTCATCAAATGTACAATGAGAGAAGCTAAAAAACATATATGGATGTGGCCTTAAAATTATATCTGTGCAAGAATCATTACAATTATTCCATTTTTTTTATTGATGTGATATGAAGTATACTTCATTATTTTTTTTTCCTCTCCCCAGGTGTGATCGCTGTTGTGATATTCATTCCACTTTGCATTGCTGCCATTGCTGTACGGATTTATAAAAAGAAAAGTATATATAAAAAAAAGGAGGTGAAGGGATCAGAAAATGAGGATAGTGCTGAGACTGTCCTGAAAAATGAGATCAACGTGCAAAATACAATCAATGAAAATCAAAAGGAATATTTCTTCTGATTTGCCTTTCTGATCTAGTTTAATAAGAATAAATAATATGACAGTCTGACTTATTTGCTAAACCAAGTTCTCAACAGAAAAAAGAAACTGTTGCATTCAATGAACACACAAAATGGATTTGAAAACTATTAAACAGCGTATGTTCAGTCTTGGTGTTTGCTATGGGAAGCCTCTTTAAATGACATGCATTCCTTAGCTATTATAACATAGATGCATTTTATGTAACAGTGAATTAGATATTGTAACCAATCCCATTGTTGGTAGTTTTCAGCTGTTCTGCTGTGACTTTCTAAACTGGAAGTTAAACTTGCATACTTAACATGAGTTTTGAATGGGAAAAAAATAGTCATTTTTTTCTTCCTTTCAGTCTTTCCTTCCAAAAGATCTATTTTTAAAGCAATTCTGTTTAAATGTTCTATAGTGTTGTCTTCTGAACCATTGGGCTGTTATCCAAAGCAGAGGTAAACAAGCTTAAGACCCATTGAATTAATTGGCTTAAGAGTGTAGACCTCCACATTGAATGCTGGCACTGATACAGTATTTTCTAGGGAGCAGTTCAAAGAACTGACATTGAGAAATGTGTTCAGTGTTTCTGGTTCTTTTCTCCTCCTCCTCCTCTTCTCAAAAACAAACAAGCAAACATGAACCATTATCCTCATCAGCAATTTCTTCCCTGCCCCACCAAATCAATCTGTATTACTCTCTAATGATGAAGAACTCAGTGTTACTTTGAAGGCTTGTTTGCATGACAAATGAAGTGTGAATGAAAGTCTGGTTGTAACAATGTACTGGGAGGATATATGGTGGTAAAAATGAATAACAATTTGCTGTCTAAGGAACCCAAACCCTAAATTCTCCATAAATTATGGCTGGATGTCTTTCTGTCTCTTTACATTTAACTACAGTCTGAATGTATAGCAGATTACAATTTTATGTAATCTTGAGATTTTATATATATATA